GATGCGGGGCTCGATCCCAGGACCCCGGGACCATGACCTGAGCCGAAGGCAGACACTTAACGACTGAGCCACCCAGGCGCCCCCTCAGATCTTTTTAAAAAAAAATAAAAGGTGTGATTCAAGGGTCTTGGGTACAGTTGTGTCACCAACTGTTGCAGGAAAGGTATTTGGCGCATCTGGCGTTTTACCTTTTCACTGGATACCTGTGACCCTGCTCTACTGGTGAAATAGGCACTCTGTGCGGCTGAGCTGGTTCTAAGTCCCTAGATGGAAGTAGGAGTCAAACAGGTGTATTCCCCAAGCACTGTGCTTGGCATACATCCACCTGGGATGTGGGGGAAGGGCTAGGTCTGTGAATTACTCGAAGAATCCTGGACTGGATATTAGGAAAACAAATCTATTGTGCACCGTGTCCTATGTGCTTTTGTTTGATTCCTCACCCTTAAGTATTGGGCATCTCTTGAGACAGACTCCTAAGTAGCTTGCCTACTCAGTCACAAATGGAAGTAAATTTAAACCCTCTGCCTAGAAACTGACAAGTTCTCTCCACTCCACCTCAAGGCCCAAATTCAAATACTGTTCCAGCCAGGTTTGAATACATGCTTGACTTCTATCAGTATGACTTTGAGCAAGGTTCTATACTTCCCTGCCTCAGACGTTTAGAATTTCATCTGTAAAATGGCAAAAGCAACTTTGTGGGGTTGTTTGGAAGACTGAGTTAACTCATGTGAAGCAGATCCAGTATTGGGCACAGAAGAGCTCTTCACAAATGGCTGGCTATGAGCATGGCTTTGTGAACTTGGAGAGGCCTTATCCTGGTTGCATTTCTCATTCAATCTTAGTCTGCCTGTGCCCGTCATCTTTCTAGGCTCCAGGGAAATTTTTTTTTTTTAAAGATTTTATTTATTTGACAGCGAGAGAGGGAACACAAGCAAGGGGAGTGTGAGAGGGAGAAGCAGGCTTCCCCTGGAGCAGGGAGCCCAATGCGGGACTTGATCCCAGGACCGTGGGATCATGACCTGAGCCGAAGGCAGACGCTTAACGACTGAGCCACCCAGTGCCCCTCCAGGGAAATATCTTTAACAGCAGACAAAATTCTACCAACGGGCTTGTACTGGGATTAATAGGCTGGGAATCAGTGGTTGATTGGGGCCCATATTCTGTTTGCTGTTACTTGTGGGTGGCTTCCCCTCAGGCCTCCAGTCAGCGAAGTCAACTTCCAAGGCCAGAAGGGCTCCTCCCAGGGGCGGGGAAACCAGCTGGGGCGTGTAAACAACGGCCAGGGTTTTGCTGAAATGAAAGTGGAAGTGTATCTTAGACCCAGCTTGGAGAGGACAAAGACACCTCGGAAGGTAGAAGCAAGAGTTTAGTTATAGGGGACACTGTCACTTTGTGCCCAGCTCTGAAGCCTCAGCTCTTGTCAACCGGACCCCAGGCCCATGTCAGTGATGTATGGTGATGCCGTAAGTGAGGAGAGTGTTGGGGGATGGGGAGAAGCAGAGGAGCATTCCTCTTGGCTGGGCATCTGCAGTTATCTCAGGGTCTGGTGGCCAAGCCTCTCTGCCCGTCTCTTAGACCAGCTAAACTTCTGGGGAGAAGCAAACGGCTGGGATTAGCTCTCCCCTAACCCATTGCCTCAGAGACAATTTTGTAACCTTCACCTCAAGAGCTCATGAATTCCTTGTGTGAATGCGTTTTTCCGAGAGAATTCAGTTCTCACTAGATACTTAAAGGGTTCTGTGACCCAAAAAGTGTAAGACTCGTTCACACCTTTATCTCCTGAGATCTTGCCCAACAAACTTTCCCTCCTTATGTTTCACCCTAGAGTTGAAATGGATAGTTCCTCGCCTTACAGTTCATTTGAACTGAACGCTGAGCCCTCTTCCGGGTCACAGGAAGACCTGTTCCTCCTCCAAGAGCTTACCTAACCCCTGCGTGCTATAGTCTTCCCCTTCCTGACCTGTGAATGCCCCGACTCCTGCTAGACTAAGACTGGCCCCCTGTCTAGCCTGTTGGCCCTTGATCCCTAGACATGCCAGCACTGTGCCTGCAGTAGGCACTCGATAAACAGCTGTGGAATGAATGAATCTCCTCCCCTCTCCAGCTTCTTCAGTCTTTCCCTCCCTGCTACTCCCCCATCTCATAAATACACAAATGTCTTGCTTGGGAATTTTTCATTCGTCCCACAAATGTAAGAAAGATACAGGCTCAGGGCGCCCGGCTGGCTCAGTTGTTGGAACCAAGTGACTCCTGATCTTGGGGCTGTGAGTTCAAGCCCCACACTGGGTGTAGAGATTACTTAAAAAAAAAAAATTAGGGACACCTGGGTGGCTCATTTGGTTAAGCATCTGCCTTCGGCTCAGGTCATGATCCCAGGGTCCTGAGACTGAGTCCCGCATCGGGCTCCCTGCTCCGCAGGAAGCCTGCTTCTCCTTCTATCAGCTTGCTGCTCCCCCTGCTTTCTCTCTCTGTCTCTGACAAATAAATAAATAAAATCTTTAAAAAAAAATTAAAATTAAAGCAGATAATCCATAAATCCATACAATAAAAACTTAGCACACTGCTTGGCACCTACTAAGCATACAGTATGTGTTAATGTTACTGCCAAACTTTCAGAACCCCAGTTTCCGAAGATTATCTTGATTCACCCCCATCTTCTACCTCTGCCAAAACTACTCCCTTAAACAGCCTTTACATATTGAAGGGTGGGTTCAGGAAACTCTTTTCTTTTAATCACCCTAAATTCATTATTGAGAGATAACCTCTATTAATAACATTTTGGGGGATGCCTGGGTGGCTCAGTCTGTTGAGGGTCCTGGGATTGAGTCCCTCGTAGGGCTCCTTGCTCAGCGGGGAGCCTGCTTCTCCCTCTGCCTGCCACTCTCCCTGCTTGTTCATGCTCTCTCTCTCTGACAAAATCTTTTTTAAAAAATAATATTTTGGTGTCTATCTTCCCAGAGTTTCTTAGCCTTTTTATTTTTTTCTAAGATTTTATATTTTTTTTTATTTTTTTTAT